TCATCATATCTCCAAGTCCTATAACTCACAAGTCTACCTGCAGCCCAGATATAGGTTGTCAATCAATATGCTGCACACAGTTCTTCGTACAAACCAACCTCCGAAGAATTACAAAAAACCTCCGTTAAGCAGATCAGCAGCAATGGAAAAAACCGACAGTGTCCATCGTCCATTTTTACAAAATATAGCTGGATAACATACTGTTTGACAAGAGGTACTATAGCTTGTTTTTTCTGCAAAACAGCCGTCGAAAAGCAGCTAAATTTGTTCAGTTACCACAGCGAAAATGCGTTCTCTTCAGGGAACTTCAGCGCTCCAAGAGTGTGTTGAGAAATATTTGTTCTTGAAGAATGTTAACATGAACGTTGGTGTCCGGCTGGAAAAGCAATATAAAGACGAGAAAGAATGTCACCGGTTCCTTTTTCTTAAACAGCTGAGTAGTCTAAAGTATCTTGTACGTCAAGGCCTTGCTATTCGTGGGCACGAATCACTAGAAAGTAATCTAATTCAAATGCTCAAGACAAGAGCGGAAGATGTTCCTGAGTTAATACAATGGGTTGAAGACAGACGATATATCAGCCCAGAGATTATTAATGAACTTATTGAAATGATGAGCAACACCGTTTTACGTTCAATCTTGCAAGATATTAAAGGGAATTCGGGATTATTCGGACTGATTGCGGATGAATCCCGTGACATCAGTAACAAAGAGCAATTAACAGGCATATTGCGATGGGTGACTTTGCCAGATTTGACAACTCATGAAGACTTTCTCGGAATGTATCTGATCGAGAAACCTGACGCTGAAACGATAACAGCCGCACTGAAAGATATTTTGTTCAGATGTAATCTCAACTTAAATGCATGTCGATGGCAAGCTTATGATGGGGCGTCAACAATGAGTGGTCATCTATGGAGGGGGATTGTGGACAAAATTATGAGACGCTGTATGCCGTACAGTGTACTATGCTGTAGTCTCTTTTGTAATCGATATGATGCGATGTCATAGCCGGAAGGATGAATGTTTCAGAAAGCGGTCGGACCGAAACGTACCCAACAATGCAATATCGTATCCGGAGTTGTAACATGTCGTATCTGGAGATGTTATGTCGTATACGGAGATACAACACGTTGTGTCCAGAGATGTAATGTCATTTCCGAATATGTAATACGTTGTATCCGGAGATGCAACATCGTATCCGATGATGCAATATCATGTCCGGGTGCAACATCTTGTGTCCGGGGACCTAATGTGTTAGGTTAATGTGCAATATCGTATCCGGGGACGCAACATGTTGCTCTGGAGGTGCGATATCGTATCCGGGAGAAGCAATGTTGAAGCCATTGCATTAAAATTCATCTGTAATTTGGCGCGAAAATGATATGACAACCACGTTTTTGTATTATAAAAGCAAGATGGCGGAGAAAGATCTTGTAGAAAAGACAACTGCGATACTTAAGAATGCGATAAAAGAACTGGAAGATTCCATGAATGGAAATTCAAGATCTAATGAGCCATCGACATCGATATCTTCAGCGTCATCGATAGCTTCAACGCCGCAACTAGCTGCGCAAAACTTTAGGTATGTGCTATTTATAATAACCTTTCATTAGAATATGTAAATGAATGTACTACGTAGCATTGAATTGCTATATTATAATTATGAAATGATAAACATTTATTTAATTTACGTCATTTACTGAAAAAGTCATTATCTTGAAATAAATCTGTTTCAAAAAGCAGTTGAATAGCTAAGGTTAACTTCATATTGTATTGACCAAAATTTATGTTTATAGATAACATAATTTAAATATAGTGATAGTTTAAAGTTATAGATAACAGATTTGGTGAGAGTGCAAAGCTACATAAAAAATTATTTTTCTCGTATACTAGTACGAAATAATATTTGAAGGTATGAAAATCTCACTCCCTAAATTCAGAAATTGATATTGGCAAGAAATAGATAATGTTTTCAAAATATTTCTAACAAATGCTTAATTGACACAGTTTTGTCCTTTCAAAATAAATGCCACATGACTTCACTAATGACACTGCATGAGGCCCTGTTAGGGCTTTACTATAGTTTAGATGGTTGCATGGGTATTTTTTCTTTGCTAAAAACAGGATAATATGAATTTTAGGATTTAGAAATATTTATTATCATGGCCCCCTATTATTTGCTATTATTGTCCCCCTACCAGCTAATTAAAGCCTTGATAATATAGGAGATGTCTGAATCTTATGGTTGCATGAAGGGAGGGGGTTATATAAAAGAAAAGCCATGTGAAATAAACTCTCTTAAGATATGACATTTTTGCATTCCTGTACAAATTGATTCATATGCATTTGGTTGTTTTTTGTCTTATTAATCTCTGTATTGATTGTAACTGTGTAAATTATTTCTAAAATGTCATGTTTTCTTGCAGAAGAGTATTTCCTGGGCTCTGTAGCAGAAATGTTGCAAGGACTCCTGTTCATCCTTCAGCACATCGGCCGGGATTAAGCACATATACTGCGCCAAGAATTGAACCAAAACCCAAAAGACCCAGGCTTCAGGGGTATACACCCGTAAGCTTTACTCCATTGGAAACATGGACACATGACGTGTGTATGCTTGCAAGATGTGATGAGAATACAACACCTGACAGAGAAAGAATGGAAGTCCTGATGAGAGCTGGCCTAGGGAAAATGAAGTTAGTTTTCCCGAACAAGAAAGCCACCCACTCTGAAGTTTGTAGTTTCCTTAATGAAAAATTCCCAAGGTTGAAAGATGGTGGTGGATTCGAGGTGTTAAGGGCTGTTGGTGGTGGTGGTGGATCCAGAGCTCTCCATTTAATCCCACCTGGGAAGGATGGGTATTCTTTGCCATATAAAAGAGCGGTTCTCTCAAGCGGCAGTATATATGAGGCCATTACAAGCTGACCTAGATGAATCGCCATTGTTACATCACGTGAGTTTCATAAAGTTTCTAGCAATACATTGCACTACACTACACTGCACTCACTGAACTGCACTATATTACAATTGCGCTGTGTATCTTCTTGATAGGATACCAGAAGTGGCCACCCAACTGTAAATTGTGTTTTTTGTAACAAATCCTTGGACTTTTCTGAAATTAAGATACATAGGCAGGAATGCCAGCAAAGGTAAGATTCTTTCAATAATTTCATGTAAAATATTGGTTGCATCTTTAATTGTATGTCCCAAAATTATACATTGTGCAAGACAGCAATATATTTTACCATATATACCCTTCAACTATTTAAACAGAAATACTGAAGGGCAGTCTTCACTTGGATGCACACCATCATCAAGTTCTGGTAAGATATTTGTAACTTGTAAGGATTCATAAGTCTCATATATATTATATATGTAGTGTTGTTGTGTCAGTCCCCTTATGCAAGTATATGTTTCTTACAAAGTATGTTTGCTTTTGAAATGAAATGAAATGAAAATAATTATGTTTGGAATTTCATTTTTAAAATTTGCAAAACTTCACATTTCTTTGTTAAGAAACATAAATGGTTAATGCCCCTTATGCTAATGTTAATATTCAATTATAAAACCAACTCAGATTGTATAATCAATTTTTTACAGAACCTGGGCATTCTGTTTTAGAGCAAATAGAGTCTGATAGACAGTTTGCTGAACTACTAGCTGAAGATGATGGAGATGAATTGGAATTGATAAAGTGCTGTGGAATCTCTGACCAAACAGAAGAATTGAAATGCTCATCACTACACGAGGCTCTCAATAAACTTTCATTGAAGACTCGACCTGAAACAGAAAAGAACATTGAGTTTTTTGTTCAGAGAAGATGCGTTTTGAAAAATGCCTTTGAAGATGTCAAAACATGCAAGATGATAACTAGTAAAGTTTCAGTCGAGTTCGTCGGAGAGCCAGCGGTTGACACGGGGGGCCCACGAAAGAAATGTTCTCGATTGCTTTTCGCCAATCTATTGATTGCAAGCTCACCAGAGGTGCTTTCCCGTATATCACCTTTCTACATGATCAGAATGCACTAGCTAGCGGCTATTACAAAGCATTCGGGCAATTGGTAGCCCTTTCACTTTTGAATGGAGCTGGCGGCCCACATCTTTTTTCTTCATGCTTGGCAAATTTTATTCTTGGCATAGAAAAAAAGTGTATTGCGGAAGAAGTTATCAAGGAGATTCCTGGTGATCAAGCTGAAATAGTTACGAAACTACAGAGCCTAAATGGATGCACAAACCCAGATGATTGGACGAAGGCCTTGTTGAATTTTGACGAACGCTTTGACATGGGGATAAACAGCGCAAAAATCTTATTCGGGGAAAAAGAGGAGCTAATACAAGCTGTTGCTAAACACATCATGATTAGCTCGGCATTGGAAGAAATTCATAGCTTTCAAGAAGGCTTGTCGACATTTGGTGTCTTAAGTGTCTTGAGAGAACACCCAGAAGAAGCATTCAAAGAGCTCACATACAGCCAGCTTTCCGTTGAAGATGTCAGAAAACCCTTCGTGCCGACATTCTCGGTCAAAGGATCGTCCAAGAGGGAAAAAGAAGAACTTGTAATCTTCAACTTCAACCAATTTCTGAAAAAGTGCAGCCAGGGAGAAGTTAGTAGAACTGTGCTGAACCTGGATGGCATACTTGGTGAACAACTTTTTGAAGAAGAGGCCACGCACATATTAACCCTGAACGATGTTTACCAGTTTGCAACTGGGTTGCGTTACCCACCTCCTGGTGGATGCAAAGGCACAGTGGAATTCATCCATGGTGCACTACCTGGAACACGTGCCAAAGGAAACACATGCGCCAATTCCTTCTGTTTTCCAATTACTTCCAGATATGCTAATGAAGATTATGGTGTCTTTATATCCAGTTTGGCTGATGATATCTTGGAAGGACCTGGATACGGTATGGTCTGATCTGCTTTCTAACCATGACCTTTGACGTATTATTGCAAGAACAAACAGTTGATATTGTTGTTTCCTTTTAATGTTTCATTCGTACAAAAAGACAAGGGTATATATTGTTTCATTCGTACAAAAAGACAAGGGGATATATTGAAAAGTTTACTGTACATGTTAGTAAGCTGTTGGAATTTTGTACTAAGTTTAAAGTATCTTTGCATTGTCTTAATGGTTCTGTTTTTTTATGGTAGGTTTTAAGTATAAGTACTTAAATATAATCATGGACTCGTCCAGTGACAAATATGCAGGCTTGATGATATAGATCAATACCATATGCTTCATCATGTGCAGTTGGATTCACTTGTACCTGCAACTCATTAAAGTCTCTATCTGACAATGGGTTTGTTACGTCTGGTAGATCTATGGGTGAAGTTTCCTCATTTGCATTATTTAATTCCTCACAGTCTATTCCATATTCACTCCAGTCCTGAAAAAAAGCCTGAGTTATCAACAAATGAATACCATATTTATTCCAATGAACACTCAAAATATAATAAAAATCCTGTTTAAATGAATGCCCCCCCCCTCCCTGTTCCAACACACACATTTATGAATAATAGTGTTAAGGTTGCTTTCGACTGCCACTCTAAAAACCAATTTACGTTTACATGTGAGTTCACTTTAATCACATCCTGCAATTATAGTACTAAGTATATTTACCTATAATACAAGCAAAAGGCATTATTACCTGCATTAATTCTTGTTGCAATTCAATCCCAGCAAGGTCAGAACTTCTAGAAAGCAGAGCAAGGCCACATATCCATAGTTGATTTGGTGTCTTATTTCCAGCTGTTCGTAAGGGATGATTATTCCATGATTCTACAAATCTCTGAAGATGTGCATTTATTCGTGGCTCAAAAATATAATGTAAACAGAACTTGTGGATGTTATTTGATAAATCTAAATAGCCATTTTCTTCTAGATATTGAAAGACAGAATAGTATATATACAGGCAAGCCACAAAGACATCTCGCCATAACCGTTCAATTCGCTGGTTATGAACGCTAGCACCCGTAATAAAACTTCCCCTGTTCGGCCCCCTCAAAGGGTGATTTAACATGTACCGTGCCACTTGTACATTCTCTCCGCCATGATCAGCTCTCACCCTGGAAGGAAGTCCATGTGTAGCAACTGCATTTGAAAAATGTGTTAAAACAGTATCAGCTCGGTTGTTTCCATTGCATGATAGGTACATAATTTTTCGCGAGTAACCATCCACGCACCCATGCACCACAAAATTCCATCTTGAGAAAAACAGTACATTAGTACGAATATCATATATGATACATATACATGTATATATCATACATGCAAGCAAAAGTATGTAGTTTTACCTTATCAATTTATGATTCCCATCCATATGCCATAACGACAGAGGGGCCCTTACACTGTATGATCGCCTGTGTGTGACACGAATTTGAAGTGCTCTAACAATAGTTCCTTCTGGATCACACCTTCTCATTGATTCTCTGATCCGAATTTCTTGAATTTTGTAACCTCTTGACAACAAATGTCCACGCATGCTTTTATAACCAGAATTGGGGAATTCTTGCAGTATGTTTTTTACCAAAATATCTAGGTCTTCATCAGTAAGTTTTTCATATGTATTACGTACTGACATTCCATTTTCCTGAAGTCGTCTATGAATAGTCTTCTGACAAACGCAGAACAAACTCGCGATGTCACTTACTTTAAATCCGTTTTTCAATAGGTATTCCAGCTGATCAATTGGTATATCAAATTTCGGTCTACCTTTAAATCCTGTTTTTGTGACTGGTGGTAAAATTGTAGCGAAACTCTCTGCTTGCTTGTCCACCGCGGCCGTTAACATATGTTGGGCTTCAAGTAGGGATGGTAGCAAACAATTTTCCATCGGTCCACCCAATCGCAATAGCAACATAATAAGCCATTCAACTTTATAATGAGCGTATTCAGCTTTGTTATCACAGTCTTGACTTTCCAATTTTCTTATGATGTTGTTCAGTATTTCCTTAATATTGATGTAAACTAACTCATTTGGCGTGCGGTGTTGTCCTTCCATTTTTTTTCACCTCAAATTCCTTTTTATCGCTTTCTTTTTTCACTCATTTTTTCGGTTGTCTTGTCTACAAGTACAAGATCTTTCTCCGCCATCTTGCTTTTATAATACAAAAGGTGGTTGTCATGTGATCAGTATTTTCGCGCCAAATTACAGATGAATTTTAATGCAATGGCTTCAACATTGCTTCCCCCGGATACGATATTGCACATTAACCTAACACATTAGGTCCCCGGACACAAGATGTTGCACCCGGACATGATATTGCATCATCGGATACGATGTTGCATCTCCGGATACAACGTATTACATATTCGGAAATGACATTACATCTCTGGACACAACGTGTTGTATCTCCGTATACGACATAACATCTCCAGATACGACATGTTACAACTCCGGATACGATATTGCATTGTTGGGTACGTTTCGGTCCGACCGCTTTCTGAAACATTCATCCTTCCGGCTATGACATCGCATCATATCGATTACAAAAGAGACTACAGCATAGTACACTGTACGGCATACAGCGTCTCACAATTTTGTCCACAATCCCCCTCCATAGTCATCTAAGTGGGGTTGCGGCTCGAATACAGGCTGAAAACCCTGCAGCTCATCGTATTCATTGTGCAAATCACAGGTTGGACCTAGCGTTAAAATCGTGTACACATCAAAGTGAAGTCATTGGTGATTCTTTGAGTTTCGTGCAGGATTTAGCTGTCTTTATTCGACACTCGCCGCTGAGAATGGCTACATACGAAAGTATTGCAAAAGAACTGGATCCTGACGAATCTGTTGATAGTCTCCATATTTTATGCCCAACTCGATGGACTGTGAGAACGAGATCAATCGCAGCAGTATTGAATAATTACCAGGCATTACATTCTACGTTGCTGAGTATTTCGAAAACGGCAAGTGACCGAGAAAAGCGTGACAAAGCAGCAGGACTTGCAACGAAAATGACCGAGTTTAAGACCTTTTTTGGTTTGCAGTTCGCAATGAACCTTTTCTGTGTCTGTGAACAGCTCGCGACTACAATGCAGACCAAAGGAATCCTTGCACGCACTGTGATGGTTGGAGTGCGTGCTTTAAAGGACAACTTGCAGCTTCAGAGAGATTCTTACAATATCTTTTTTGATCAAACAGAAAAGAAGGGGGGTGCTGTTAGTATGGTGGAAGAGGCAGTTCTTCCTCGTCAAAGAAAGGTTCCACGACGGTTACAGGACGGAGATGCTGTGGAACATCAGCATGACTCGGTGAAATCACTGTTTCGAGCTCGGTACTATGAGGCAATTGACCTAATCCTTGCAGAACTGAATAGGCGATTTTATGAAAGGTCATATGCACCTCTTCAGCACATAGAGAAGACGTTATCCTAAATGCTGCTAACAGGGATCCATGTGATATAAGCGATGACTTCAAAGAAAAATACAACAAGGAAATCGATTTTGATCAAGTAAACATTGAGCTTAAATTTCTTCCTGGTATAATCAAGCAATGTCTACCAGAGGTTAGACGTGTGACTACAATGGATACCGTGATATCCGCAGTGACACAAGGGCAAAATGGCGCATTTGTTGTACCGAATCTCGCTCGTCTACTACAAATCTACCTGCTGGCTCCAATGAGTGCCGCTCTGCTGAAAGGTCTTTTTCAGTTCAACGACGCATCAAAAATTATCTGAGGAGCACCATGACACAGAAAAGATACAATAATCTTCTTATGCTTAATATTCACAAAGAAAGAATAGATAACGTCGATCTTAGGGACCTTGCTAAGGCATTTGCAGAAAAAAATGACAAAAGAATAAGATTTTTTGGTAAATTCCACTGAACTAAACAACTGCCACAAACATCAATCCTCGTCGTGCTTTTACTGCGTTACCGAATACAGATCTTATATGGGATTATATATTATAAGTTATAACATTCAAAGTTCCAAAATTTTCTTGTTAAAGTTCATGTTAAAATTTTAAACTCTCATTATATGATGAGACAGCATACAACATGGTCCGCGCACCATGCGGCTATAATACTCACAATTATTATATGACATTTATATTAATATTAATATTATCATATTAAAAGGTAACAATACTTTTTGAAAATACTACGAATTTGCTGTTTTAATGTAGCTTGCATTACAAATGTGAAATACAAACACAAACTAAATTCATATTTTTAAGACAAGACAAGAATTGAGCTGTTTGGCAACCGAAAATGAATTAACCTGAGGGTGCCCTTTTTCTATGAAGAAGTGCCCCTGAAAGCATGTGCCCCCCCAACTTTAACTTGCTTCCTACGCCACTGTTTTTTAGTAAAATGCCACCGAAGTTCCACTATTTTCATTGTTTATTTCGCCATGTTTGCTTGTGTACTTGGTGTAATATACAATGAAATGTACTCGTTCCAGGACCAAATTATGCTATTTTTGCACGGACGATTGAATAATTTGGCGTTAGCTAAGTAAAAACGCACGCGTTTGCTTTAGTTTTTCAAAAAAATATGGTCATACCTTGTATGAAAGACGTCTGTGCCTAAAGTATCATATAAAGTTCCTTGTCTTTGCTGAAATATTACCAATTTATATATCCACTTCATTGTTTGTTTCATGGTGTTGCGCACCAAAAATCAACAGCATAGGGTTTTGGTGTAGGGTTAGGGAACGACCCTACATCTCTGCTAGGATTATGCGCAGACGAAATGCACTCTACTTCTGTCACCCACTTTGAGAGAATGCCGAGACAGAGGGCTGGGGCTAAAGTCCCTCCCGCTTTTAGTCAGAAAACGGTCCCGGGGCTTTGCTTTGCACAAAATCATATTGTACTGAATTCAATTTAGGAAACAATAGTTCACTAAAATCAGAAATCATCTATGTCATCAAGGTCTCCATCGTTCGAAATTCTCTCGAGTTCACAGTCACTATCTTCTTCATCCTCGCCAGCGTCACCATTCCGACAGTCAATGCAGGAACACAAGTCGGTGCACTTCAGTCCAGCCTTCTG